TCTAGGATGTTGCATTATCGTTGTTTGCTGTCACCCTTATTTTTGTTGTTGAAATCACCAACTACTTTTGATTTTTTAATAGCAATCTATGTTACGAATTCCATAAATTAATAAAGTTTTAGTTTAAATATATGCGATGTTGACATTTTAAATTTTCGTAAAACCTGTTGACAATATATTCCACTTTTAAATTCGTTGCTTTGTAGTGATATATTTGTGGCGGGGCGACGGGCCACCCTCTCCCCTTCCGTGGTCCGTACAATATTCTGTGCGCATTGTTATTTGTTTTTAATGTTGTTGCAATTATTTTGAATTTTTGAATGAATTAATCAATAATATGATAAATGGTCAAATCCACAGACATTAAAATATTTTTATTATCTATGGGAGAACTTGGTTAAGATTTCTGGTGTTATCATTTCGTTTTGGCGGTTCGACCGTTGTCTCTTATCTTGAGGTTATACTTTGTATTATAAGTTTATAACATGATTATAATATTATATTTAATTAAATAAAAATATATTTTCCCGTAACATTAATTGTTGTAGCTATAACGTTACTTTTATAAAAAATTTTACATTTTAAGAGTGGGTGAATATATATTTCGCCCCCCCCCCCGTAAGAAAGGCCTAGGTACGCTAATGTTGTTTGTGTGGATAGGGAATGGGTATTGGAGCGTCATGACGAAGTTTGAATAGTGTTCTACTACTCTCTTCCTACCCAGAATTTAGAAGTGGAATACCTCGTCAACGGGTAGGCGGAAATTGAAAATGTCAAAAACATCAAAATATATTTCAACTAAAACTTCATTTATTTGTAGAACTATTAATATAGGTTGTTAAATGACAATCAAAAGTAGGAAAAGGTTTCATCCCTCCCCCTCCAAAAAAATAATAAAAAAACGGTAAAAAATAATAATCGTAATATTAAAAATTTTAAAGCTGCTTGTTTCTTAAATTTCCTATTTTCTTGAAAAACTAATTCAAAAAAAGTTAATAGTTTTCGAGATAATGAGTGTTTTACATCATATTGTTTATTACCTTATATATTTTAGTCGGAATAGTACAACTATATATTATGTACAAAAAGGAGAACGGTATAAGCTGTGACGGATTAAAGGAGAGAGATAGAGGGATCTCCCATCCCCCAATTGGAGTTTTTTAAATTTTTAAGAAAAACTGTCGAAAATTTTGAAAAAATGTTCAAATAAAGTAACAAAGGTAGAAATTCGCATATCTTAAAGTACTATGTGGAAATTTGGAGTATTTTTATTAACCAAAAATTTATTTTCTAGGGTGAAAAAAACTATTGAGAATGATAAACAATTCTTCAATAAAATTACTACCAGCTGGAAGATTCGAATCTCTTAAGGTACTGCGTAAACAAATAAAAAGAAGAAAGAAATAAAAAATAAAAAGAAACATATTTTAGTAAAAGTATTAGCCTCTTTGCTACAATCAGAATCTAAATTAACAATACAGAGTACAACATATTAAATTATAATAATTAAAATAATTAAAAAATAATAATTTTCGGAATGCAGTAGACTTTTCGAGGTCGTTGCGAGGAGCACTTTTTATAATGTTAATATACAAATCAGAGATAAAGTAATAGTATACTTACGTAGGGTTTTTTTGTTGTGTCGTTTCCTTGAGACTATTTTCGAGGGCAGGTGAGCCGAGTCCACGGGGAGACACCTTTACTCGCCAGCTGCGACGGTTTTTTTTTACCACCGCACGTGGTAACCGACTCGTATAACTCGCGTGCGTCTACGTGATTTTTTTTCGCGCCATGTTATTTTTTTACGGTCTCCGACCCGTGTAGACGACTGTAAATATTCAGACGCGGATATAAAATATACGAAAATAAAACGCTCTCGTAATATACTCATACAGTAGTCATAGTACGTAGTTATACACACGCATATATTATTATTAAGTGCGGTAACACCGCAAACCATAGAGATTCTATAAAACGTCCGTTGTATTGTCACAAACAATACGTACCGTTCGACACAATGTAGTTTTCAGACAAATGCCGATTTGACGACGTGAGCGGCAGAGTACAATAGAACTCAAAAATTATAAGAGAAAAAAAGGATGCGTTATGTTATTTAATTTATATCTGTACATGAAAATAAGTCATTTGCTAACGAAAAGCGATTCTGAGCAAAGTTCGATTGTACATATTTTGACATGCCGTAGTTTTTACGATTTTACCAAAAAGTAATTGGTCGTATATTATGTTACTCCCCTCGTAATTAAGTTAACCCGAAAATCTACAGAAATAAAAACCAACGTATCCGTCATTTGTTTTTATTCTTAAAAAGCCTCAAAATAATCAGAGAAAGCATAAAAGTACAATATTTTGATCTTAAAAAGAATCACATAACAACATTTTGAAAAAATCGCGCAAACTAACGAATGCCAACACAAAGTATTACATAATATTATATAGACAACTAATCGACGTCTAAATCGTATTAGCGTATTATCTTCAATTTTATAGAAATAACACTGCTATCTAATACTTACTCGCGGTTAAAAATAAAACACTCGGGATATGAATGTTGTGTTTACTTGAAAAACATACAGAGACGCGTGTCTCTCACCCGAGAACACGATATCTTAACAATATTCTCAAGTGTCCATAGGAACGACTGAAACGTTAACCGGACGGATATAATATAAATATACTTTATAATTAATACCGCAGTGGCATGGCGAGCGCATAATATTTCGAACCCTAAGCAAAGTGATCAAAAATTAGCCGAAATTATCACCACACTTCCCCTACCCCCTTCTATAAACTATTCCTAGGACTAAGCGAAAAACGTTTCCGATGATTAATTTCAATTTTCCACAATGCGTCTCTGGACAGATACAGATTGGAAACAAAAACCCAACACGGATACAGGCCCGTCTGTTAGGAAATTTTACGCCTCGGGGCAACATGTTATTTAAACGCCCTCTCTAAACATTTTTTTTTTTTCTTTTTCGTAAAATATAAAATTATATAAATTTTCAGATTTACATGAAAAAAAATAAACTATCGAGCTTTTACCGATAGCTTGGCGTTCATTCGACAGTTGTCCGATAACTGGTATACGTATATTTTTTTTGACTTGTACCATATATAATTTTCGTCTATTATATTTCATGGACATTATTAAAATCTTTCGGTCACCAATAATAAATATATATATATATAATTTTAATCCTAAAAACTCACCGAATAGCCTTTTGCTGGATCACACAAACGTTCACTACAATTTTAGCGAATGCTCAGAGCTCTAATCACTTCATCACTTTTTTTGATAACCAAGTTATAAACTCATAATATATTCATAACAAACCGTCTATACAACTCAAATGGTTCACTAATATTGTTCAATGGTTCACTAAATCATGTCATTGTAAATAAATTTAATAAAACGTTTTAAGCAATCCAGAATTTTATATTATTGAATAATGTATAATATGTTTTGTAATCATTAAAATATTATTCCATTCGATCACCCGCCTCTTTCGGCTAATCACATTATTATAGGTAATCCCACTAAATTATTTTCAAACTAATTATCTTAAATTTTTCCTTTTATTGTCCCAAAAACTCAAATTATATGAACATATTTGTACGTTACTTTTTAATATAAAAAAATTTAATCAATTGTAAACTCTTTGACGGTGCGATATGCAATCGTTAAAAAAAAAAAAAAAAACAAACAAACAAATAAATTATCTTTAAACGAGTAATATATATCGCGGGTGTTATATATTTTTGGACTGTGTTCGGTATTTTTTTGTCGTAAAATCATAATCGTACTATGTAATATAATAGTATATTACTATGTAAAGTAATATAATAAACCGCAGTATAATATAACGTATTTTTGTAATTACATAAAATCCAAGGTTGCTGCAGGCTCGTATAAATTAAATAATGTATGTGCATTTCAACAAAAAATTGCATTCAGTTCCGTTGATGCAAAAAGTAACGTCGGACCGCGGAATTTTTTTTAAAAACTTTAACAATCAAAAAATTGAAAAATAAAACAAAACTAATAGGTAGTAACAATTTTTCTATAACTTCAGCTGCATTATTATTTAAAAAATCGTAGAATATCAGCGATACAAACGAGAAATGTTTGTTGTTAATATAAGCGTATGTATACATATGTATACTTGGTATTAACTTAACGAGTACTTAATTTGTGGGAACAGAACTCTTTATTCTCGAATTATTTGCGCCTGTAGACTAATTATTTTATAGAAATAATTTTTTCGATATCAAATATTTTAATAATTCGTAACATAAACAAATATTCCATGGGATGAACAATACAATTTTTCCTCTTGGTAATCCATGACTGGTGCGTGAGGCAGTAACTTCGATCACGAGTAAGTATCGAATGTCTTGATTGTAATAATTGTTGTATACATATCTAGTATATTATAGCTAGATATTAAAAATCGGTAAATCTAGTATTGCGTATCTATAGACCCGTTTAAAGTATCTTCCTAATTTTCGATTGTTAAGTTTCAGATTTACTCATAGACCTGTCGGGTTATTTATTTGTGATTTTTAATTATTCTTCTCAAACGAATCGAACAATTTTTCTCATTGAATTTAATAATATTACATACATAAACAAACATTTGTTATTGTTATTATTTCCGCTATAATTTCATTAATCCGGTTCTGGATGACTCGATCACTATATATTGTGTTTTCATTAGGGTTAATAATAATTACCATTGTCGTCCTGCTGCTGCTTAATTGCGGAGTTCCGGTGCATATGATGCATCTGACCCTATGAAATGAAAATATAATAGTTTAGCGACAAAAGAAAAATGGAAAAATTTTCAGCAATACCGACACGACGAAAAATTAAGCGTAATCCGCTCGACAATACCATAAAATAATATGAATAAACACGACTAAATTTTAGATTCAGAGGTTTTTTTTTTTTTTTATTAATATTAATAGTTATTACTAACCCCAATGTAAATGAAGTTAATATAATATAATGACGACAATATGTTAATAAAATCAAAAATTCAGTAGTGAGTCGTGACTCGTGAACGATTATTTGGTCAAAGAAGCCGCGCAACACCGAAAAAAAAATAAATAACAATCGGCATTACAATTAATGGCGATTGTGTTGGTGAAAGTGGTGTTATGATAATATCAAACGAGAATATTGTAGACATAAAACAATAGTAAGTACATAGAACAATTGTATATTCATAAAAACCAATAAATTCTTCATCATTATCATATTATATTGAAAAAATGGTATTTTTTCTGTACATAGCATTATGTTTCTCTTTTCGGTATCTATATAATATTCTGTAGTGTTTTAAATTTTTACTATTTGTAAATTTTTTAAATCGAAATATCAGTCGTAATCAATGTAAACAAAATATATAAAATATAATAAATACATACGGTTTTTCTTATTTATTTTTATCGGCGATTGAGCTGCAGAAATGACGAAATCACCGTTAAAACATATAGCATACCTATAATATCATATATGAACTTCAGGAAACCCTGCAAGAGCAATGGTTCAGGTTGGATGTGATGGTTCAAAAGGATCTGTAAAGTTTAGCAGTGCTCAGCGGCGTATTTAGGATTTTTCGGAGGAAGGAGGTATTGAATTTGGTAATTATGTAATATTGTAAAACGCGGTAAACTTACATACTGGTCAAAAACAGATCAATTTCAAATTTATATATGTATACATTATATTATCATAAGTAATTTAAAATTATCATTGAAATAAAAACTAGGTATTAGTATAATAACTAAAATCATTTTTGCCTGGTAATATCGATGCTATAAAAAAATAAAAATAAACAAGTCAATTACGGATATCGCTTACATAAACACGTGTGGAATATTAAGGAACTTCCAAATAATATTACCGAAAAGACGTGTTCAGGACTTCAAGGGCCGTGGGTTGAACCAAAATGTGAATACCTACTACATCTGTTTCGGTCGGATGTTGACCGTATTGTGCCGGACGCAACCGCTGATAAAATATCGTCAATTTCTCCTCCGTCACCGATAAAAACAATTAAAAAAAAAAAAACAACAAATAAATGGATGTTTTCATTGGTGATTTACAAATGAAATACTAATAATAATTAACAATCATCTTATAATGAATAATATATCGTACACGAATTTAATTAAATACCCAAATGTATACCAACTGTAAAACGCTTAAAAAATAAACATTAAACTTATTATGTATCGATTAAGTAAGTAATAAGTACAGCATATTTTTAAATGTAACTATGAAAGTTAACGTTAACAGTCAAATGTGTAATATTTTGGGTTTGTTTTTTTTTTGCCCTCCTCCCACTACCATTGATAACTCATGACAACTTCGCCTACGCCACTGAACGAAACAATAAATTCGTAACACAAACATCGTGACAACATATAATATTACGATAAGATATAATATTATGTAACACCGACACTTTGGGAAAATCTATGAAAAAAAAAAATAATAATAATACAACACTCAGTTCGACTATTATTGTAAATTATTTATTCGCAGGCGTTTGTTTATTTTGGCTATAAATTGTCGACTGTCGATTTTTTTATTATTTTAGATTCTGATTGAAGCGAGGAATGTATTGGTTTTACTATGATGTGTGTTTTTTTCGTTTCTGTAAACGACTTTTCTATACGTTATCGTGCGTCAATCAAAAACTTTATAGGAACTTTCTTATAGCATTTATGAGGTCATAGCTGGTACATTGAGCGGGTCATTTTTTGATTTTCTGGCCATTTGAATAATTTTTGTTGATTTCTGGGTTACCTTGGCAACAAATGTAAAATAAGACTAACAATATTCTGCTCAGTATCGGTTTTTAAGATATAAATTAAATTACGCTATACAGGGCGACCAATGTAACGTAAGACACTATTTATTTAAAGAAAATATTTAATTTTTTCGGAATCAGTTTTTAGAACTTTCAAGAAACAAACAGCATTGAAATGTTACATTATCGTTTTTTGTTATCATCCTTATTTTTGGAGTTGAAACCACTAACCACCCACTACACACTTTTGATTTTTAAATAGCAACCTATATTAAAAATTGCATATACACAGATGAAGTTTTAATTTAAATAAATATTGGTATTGAAATGTTTAATTTCCGTCAGTCCGTTAACGTCATACTACACTTTTAATTTGTGGGTAAGAAGAGATGAGTAGTTTTAGTACAGCCTTCATGCCCAAATTTAATATTGCAATACGAATCAAAAGTAGGTAATGATTTCACCCCCTAAAATAAGAGTTATGAAAACTAACGGTAATGCAACAATTTAGGGCTGCTTGTTTCTGAAAGGTTTTAAAAAACATATTTCGAAAAAAGATAATATTTTTTCGAGATTGATCACCTCACAGTTATTTCCCTCACAAAACAGCGGCACACCCATCAGAAGTATTAGTATTTTTTTTATATATATATAAATATATGTATTTAATTTGTATGATTTATTTTTAAAATTCGGATCGAAACCAAATTTTCGCGGATATTAACCGATCGGCGTCGTCGCGGTCGTAATCGTTTACAATTGTGTATACGTATAATCGCGCCAAACGCATTTTTTATTTTGACGAATATAACATTATAATGTACACAACAGACGCGAATTATTAATGCATTGTGGTGCACGTGGTTAAAAATAATAAAAAACCGAAATTCGCGGATACGATTTTATTACTATTATTACTGTTGAGACCGGGCATATGTACTACACGGCCGGATATCGTAATGCATCGTGCGAGCTGCAGACGCGTTTCGTTTACTTAGAATATTTTTTTTTTATATGCGAATAAAATTACTATGGAAATCGGTAAAAATTAGTTTCAATTGCGTTTACAATGAATAATATACAAGTGTTACAGGACAAACGGTGCGTACTAACTGCCGAATATAATGTAATAATTATTCGTATACAATGTCCCACAGAGATCTGACACACAATAATTTTTGTTCAGTTCGGTATATTCTCCTTTTTTGTGAATATTTAAAAATTATTTTTCATTGAAAAATTGATAAATCGATTGATATAATTTAACAGTGGCGATGTAAACAGAAAAACAAAATATTTAACAGAACAAAAATTATTTGTCAGACCTCTATGGAACACCGTGTATAGTAGAAAACCGTAGCCAGGAAAAAATGTCGTGGATACAAATAATTTGTATTATTACCTACAATTTTTTTATAACGACAAATTCACTGAAAACAAGTTATTTCAGATGTCAGATATTTGTATTAAACCCAGTATAGTTATAAACCCAAAAAGACGTCCTAGGATAATGGGGATAGGTGCAGCCACTGATTATAGGTAATTAAACGTATATTTGTTAGCAACGATTAACTATTGCTAACGAAAAAACGATTCTGAGTGGAATTAGGTTCATAGTGATACTTTGTCAACAATATATATGTCATATTATGGTAAAATAAATAAACAGACATTATATATTATCTTTAATAATATTTGTTTACTGTGCCGATTTTCCCGTTTTTCCTGGTTTTTCATATTTGCTGGGAAAACTTTTGAAAAAATCGAAAATTGGCATCTTTAATGTACCTCTCCAGTCAAATTTCTTTTTAGAAACATTGCTATCATTATAAATTTGAGCAAAATTGTTGGTAGAAAAGTTGTCTACAGAAAAAAAAAATCGTAATAATGAATTAATAATGAACTAAAATATATTTCGTATATTTTTTCGTTTTTTTTCGATTACAGATTGCGTACCAAATGAAAAATCGAGCATTTCGATTGCGATCGGCAATATTATTAGGGGTTGCAAGCCACATATATACTGGGAAAGTGAGAACCATTGATTTTTACCATTTTAAATATAACAACATATCAGAAATTAATTCCAATAAATACAGAGAAATGTATAACAATAAATAAGAATTTATCGAAAAACAAATAAACAATCTAAGAAATAATATTATATCTCGTTATGACTATTTAAAAAAAAATGTCACTTAAAACATTTTCCTTTTTGATAATATCATAATAATAGTTAAAAATCTTGACTACAGTTATAATAATAATAATTATCAGATATAGCTAAAAAATATTCGAAAGTACTACAGTACTACAGTTAGGTTATTTTGTTTTTATTTAATTATTTTATCATTTAAAAAATATTGACAGTAAATTTTGAGTACATAAATGTAATATGTACAATTTGAAAAAATTAATATTAATTGTGCTGATTATAATAATGATAATATATAAATTTTTTTTTTTTTATTACCTATAACAATATGACATAATGTATAATTGTGTACAATTTTTAAAGATTGTAATAAATAATAAAAGCGGTACTGTAATAATATTACATATAATTTGTTTCCAATTTATCAATTATATCTTATTTAATAATTGAAAATCACCGGACGCAATAAAGATTTTAGATTTTTCGTTGACTTTGGGACGCAATCGGCCGTCTCCGGTGCCCTCAGTTTCTCAGCCTTCTCGGCTATGGTATTGATTTGTATACAGTGATAGTAGCTACTTATACTAAAAAGGGTTGCGTAACAGAATTTTAGAAATATTATCGATATTAATCCTAATATTATAGTTATTTAGAGGCAATTTTTTATTTTTGGTAGGTACCTATATACTATTCGGATAAAAATTGTTTGATTAAACAAATATGCTTAAAAAAGTAGTATACGGTATTACATTTACAATTGCCTACCAACGGCATGCTCATTTTTTGCATATCGGCGCTATTCGTTAGAATTTATTGAATAAATGAATAAAAAAAAAGAATGCCAACGGCNTACTAACTACGCCCGACGTTGCTTAACTTCAGTGATCGGACGAGAACTGGTGTATTCAACGTGGTATGGTCGTTGGCGAAATGCTGTTGTGTTATCAAGTTATTTAAGCACCTACTCACTTATGTCAATATTATAATTTAATTAATTATTTAATTGAAACTGTTGTGTTAAAAAATATAAAATACAAGAGGTTTTTGAACATTTTTGGTTTTTATTATTTGCAGGTATTTTTATTGAATTTATATAGTTTTTCAAAATGTCTTACAGTTAAGTACCTATTAATAGGTGCTTACTTGCAAGACAAATTCGTACCTATAGGCTATAACTGAACTTCGATCAGAATATACAATTATTATATTTTGATAGCAACAGTTTATCGTCACTTACAGATATAAATTGAACATCTATCTAACTTAATGCATTCTACCTTCCCGACTTCCCACCTATAATGTCGCCACCCATTAGCAGTATATTATTAAGCAGTATTATTTTTTCCCCACATCAATACATTGCCCGAGAGCAAAAAGTGTAAATATAACAATGCTTGGATGGGACCCAACATAGCTACCTACTATACACGGACTCCGTGGTCTGTGGTTGTGGCACTGCAAATAAATGTGTTAAAAACCATCCGTAACAACTATATTTCATCGAAAAACAAAAAGAAAACGGAACCCATACTTTCTAAATTTTTCTGTTACCCCTACATGATTTTCCGATTCGTTAAGAAAACTATAAGGAAAATATACAAAAACGATCTGCTTAGCGCACCAAATGGAAAAAATTGTCTTTTTGAAAATATACTATACGTCTATACTTGATGATCGAAACAAGATTTATTGTAGGTATACAAGTTGTTGGGAAAAAAACCAACACATTCTTCTCTGTTCTAAAAAATATTATACCTAGCATATTAGTTGTTACATTAATTGTGAGTCGCAAATGGTTGTAATCTGTCAGTAAACTATTCAAATTCGTAATTTTATTTTCTACGGCCGTAATTTTGGTCGTAATGATTTAATTTTACGTTTCAATGAAAGTTCATTAGTTTAAGTATTTGGCGTTTATACTTCTGCATCAATACTTTTAAGTAAAATACTATGACATTACAATGAATATATACATATTACCAATTATAATATCGTGGTATTTTTCGTTGGTTGTATGGAAGTATCAAACGTGAATTTATCGAATCGATAAGTTGTTGAATTTGGATTCAGATCTGAAAAATGTGCGCAGAAATTTACCCACAGAATTCAGTATTGTGTTCCTGCAGACAATCTTATTATCATTTAATTATTATTTTGCCATCAAGTAAAAACGTAAGTAATTTATTTGTCTATAGAAAATAGGTAGATACCTACCTATTGTTATTTGTTACCAAGGTGTTATTCTGCACTGTGCCATGAAAACCATAAAATAGATATCAGTTTCATCAATCTTTCATCATCGGATGTGTCTTACGACAATATTATTACGTACCTAGGTGTGGTGTGTTTTTTAAATGTTGATTAATCGCCAAGGCGGTTTAAAGAGCGGTAGGTACTGTCAGGTACCCGGGCATCAGACTCTAAACAAAAACAATTGGCTTAAAAATAATGATGTGCAATTAGTCTTATTTAAGTGATTTAGTTCGTAAAAAGTAGGTACACCTATAATAAATCTGGACGAGAAAAAAAAATATAAATTTAAACAAAAGAGCTGATACTGAAGACGGGTGCAGCCACTGTTGTAAGTGGGAAGTTGGGAAGATAGGACACATAAGGTTATTTCATTTATATATGTAAACATTTCTTGTGACTTTTTGATTAAATCATTTTTCTGGTAGAAAACGTCGTAATTGTATAAATGTTTTTATAAAATAATGAAATAGTGAAATTGTACGTTTTCCTAAGTTTTTTCCCACTTAAGTGCTTTTATTTAAAAAATGACGTTGACAATCGAGAAATGACCTCTCTAAAGTACAATTTAGACAATTTGAGCTTTCATAAAAGTTGTTATACGTAAAAATCGGAGCAAGTTCACTAGGAAAAAATGTGTCCATAGACTAGAACATAGAAAAAGAAATAAACAGTATTGTAAAACCAATAGTTCCCTCACTGCGCTCGGAATCTATAATCATCACAAAAAAATTACCATATAATAATTTACGATGTAGCAATTAACCGGTATAAATAGTAAATTAAAAAAACGCATTGATATCGCATCAAATTTACCAATTTTTTTTTGTAGGTAGATATCTAGGTAGTTGAAAATAAGAAAACGGGAAAAATATTAATATATTTTTAACTGATGAATGACAAATTTAGTATTATTACGTGGATCCGCGATCAGATGTATTATTCGTATATCACTAAATTGATAAAAAGAAATAAAACTTATTTAAGTAATATTAATTAATATTGTTAATATATATTTAAAATTCGATTACGTGATCTAGGGTGCTGAAAATCACATAGTTAGGTCACACGGCCTTGTGGCGCAACGGATAACGCGTCTGACTACGGATCAGAAGATTCCAGGTTCGAATCCTGGCAAGGTCGACTTAATTTTTTGATGTATTTTCCAAAACTATTCGTTTACCACAATAATTTATTCGTTTCGAATGCGTTTAGTCCCGTAAATATCACGTGTTCGAACGATTTTTAGACTTTGATTTAGATTATCAGCGAACGATTTTGAAGAACGCATTGGTTTTACTGGTATTTTTTTTAAGTTTTTGTTTTCTCTTCCTGTCTTTAAACTAATTTTTTTCCGACAAGGGATTTTCAGATTTGCCTTTAGTAGCACATTTAATAATTGGAAAAAATCGGGAAAGTGTTTTTCTACCGTTATAATATTATGTTTTCTTATTTTGTAAGAGACTAAAGTCTATTGTAATAAATATTTTAAAATTTTTTAAAACGGCAGTTATTCGTATTGGGTTTTTTTTATATGTATATAAAATAGAGTTTTACGAAGAATTACAATAATTTCACGTTATTTTTGTATCCGTTTAGTTTTTAATTTTCTCAATATTTTTATCGACGACGTTGTTTAGTTTAGTCATTATTATACTGCCCGGTGGTTTTCGGCGGAATAGTTTAATACATTATTGTATTTTTTTTCTCAAATAATTATATACAAGTGTCCCACGATGATCTGCTACTTGAAATAACTTTTATTCTATTCAATATGTTTGATATATATTTTTTTAAATAATTAGTATTGCATATTTGCATATTCAAACGTGGTAATTTAATGGAAATCTAAAAATCGTATCCAAAAATGTCAATTTCTATTCAATAGGTAAATTAAACTTTTTTCATAACTTAAAAAAAAAATAAATTTCAAGATTAAATTACCAAATAAATACTTGCAGTTGTTTTATTTGTAAGCCAAAAGTGGGGAGTATACAACCCCTACCTCCTCTTAGAATTTCTTAATTTTATGTAATGTGCAGTATTTAAACAAAAATAAAACGCAGACGACTAAAACACAAACTACTCAAATACACTTATAGTTTTTCGATTTCTCATCGTATTTTTCTATTATCATTTTGTCTATCGTTACATTTAGACATAGGCAACGTACGGTTATATACCGTAGTACAATGGTTCTCAATCTTTTTAGAACTACAACCCGAATTTTCCCCCGAAAATATATAGCGATCCACATGGTTTCACTTTTCAAAAAGTCGTTTATAAAAAAAAACCGGAAAATCAACAAATCGCATAGGTAAATTATCAACCCCAATCAGATTTCCTTTCAGAAAAAGTGCTACACTTGAAAAATCGGAGCGAAATTGCTGGTAAAAAAGTCGTTTACAGTTAAAACAAATAATAATTCTAAAAAAAAATCATTATTGTAAAACACTCCGTTCAGAATCTAAAAACATAAATTTCTCGGAGTCTATATAATTCAAAACAATTTTCGCGACCCGCCAATAATTTGACTAGGGACTCACCAGTGGGTCGCGACTCACAGTTTGAGAAACGTTACCATAGTATATTATATTACAATACACAATTATAGACGATTATTGCTTGTTTTCTATATAATTCGAATCAAGGACTGCGGCTAGCTCTTATAGTACACGCTTAACTATGAGTGACAGTAGATTAAGCGATTTATTATGGCGGCCGAACAAGAAGAAGAGTCGTTGTAGGAATACCATTAAAATAATGTACGCTCGATGTTCAGTATTAAAATAGAAGTGTCGCGCAGAGACGTTTTGAATATAATTTTGGCGTTTCAGTGAAATGCCTGAAAATTTCCAGCGGATTAGTGTTGGGCCGTTTAAATGACGACGAAATTCCATCACGAACCAAATGCGTGCAACGTTTTAATGATTTTCATTCTATAGCCTGGAATCGTATAACTTTTGGAAAAAATAACAATTATTATAATTATCAGTATAACAGTTGTTTCTAATCTGAGATCATTGTATATATTGTACTTGCATTTTCGAATAGATATTGTTTTTGTTGAATTTTTCCAAAAACCGCAATATACTGTTGCACCGTATCATGTCTGTTATAAATAATACATACAGGTGATTCACAGGGTGGAGCACTAATAAAACGCCGCGTGCCGTATCGCCACAAAAATTAATACTCCACTTTTTAATATAGGTTTTAATTTGAAAAACCTAAGTTGGTATCGCCATAGGATACTCCTCAAATGTTGTGAAAAATCTAAAATATCTGAAGTATTTGAAAATATCGGCTTTAACTACATTTGAGAATTCTAAAAATCAGAATTTTAACCTATGCAAACAAAATTAATTTAAAAAATAAAAGAACTGATACTGAGGATGGGAGCGGCCACTGTAGCAAGTGAGAAGTTGGGAAGGTAGGATACTTAAGGTTATTTCATTTATATCTGTAAGCAACAATAAATCATTGGTTCACAAAAAACCTTTTCCAGGGCAGTTCGGTAATACATAATTTGAAGTGTCATAATATTTTTTGAGATTTTCGTTTAAATTTGATTTAAAAATGTATTTAAAGAAAAAAAAGTCATCCAATGACTTTGAAAATTATACCACGTAAGTTCAATATAAGTATTATTACCAAGTTTCAAGTCTTTACGTGTATTTATAACCGAGTTACAGCAAAAAAACTCCCAAAAATTAAAATTCCTTAAAAGCTCAAAAGCGGCTCAAAAGTTTTCACGATGACATCGTAAGAAAGTAAATCAAAAAGGCAACAAAAAAGGTATTTTGTGATTTTTCGATCAAATTATTTTTTCTGATAGAAAACGTCGTCCGTGTTTTTATAAAATAATGAAATAGTGAAATTGTACGTTTTCCTACGTTTTTTTCAAAACTTAAGTGCTTTTATTTAAAAAATGACCTCTATTTGGACAACTTGAGCTTTAGAAAAGTTACTAAACGTAAAAATCGGAGCAAGTTTACAAGGAAAAAACGTATCCACAGACTAAAAAAAAAAAAAAAGAAATAAACATCTTGGTAAAACCAATAGCTCCCTCGCTGCAGCGTACCCGGAATCTAATAAGGTGAGTTCACGCTTAGTGAATCATTCTGTATGTGTATAATATATATGTTATACACAGCATATCTGTTGCCGATTTCGGCTTTTGCCCGTAACATACTAGTGTATAATATATATTATCTTCTTCGCGGTACATTTGGACACTTTTAATGGTTCTTTAAGGACCAAATGAGCTCGAACACGGAAATTAGAATTTCCAATACACGGATTAAAGTGATAAAGGTTTTGGTTGAATTTAAATATGAACTTTACCATTTTATTGTGGGAG